TATCACGCTATGCTGTATCGGGATTAGCCCGCATGTGACTCTGTCGAGTCCATACATATATATTGTATCTTTATGTAGAATTTAATAATATTAAGGCTTTTCCACTAACTTATATATAATCTTCTAACAGGTTATGAGCCTGGGTTCGTGTGGCGCTAGGATTAGTCTTCCGGAGTTACTTGATTAAAGCTACGACAGATAGTAGCTATTCCGTCAAATCCGGAGACTGTCGTCTTTGTAAATATGGTTCAATTCTAAAGACATCTAGGTGGCATCTGGTCTAATACGATTGAGCAATTAAAGAAGTGCAGCTCCGTTCAGCAAATGAATCTGGTTTCGGTGTTGTCGTAAGATTTCGGTATCCTGTGTAATGTTGTAAAGCGTGCGGCGCTATCACGGTAAAGATTGTAATGAATACTCAGATGCGCGGTACCAAAACGATCCAGCCTGCGAGGTTGAAGATGGTAGAGATCGTAATGAATACTCAGGTGTGCGGCACCACAACGATCCAACCTACAGGGTTGAAGACGGTGGAGACCGTACGAAATACTCAGGTGCGCAGCACTACAGTGATCCAACCTACGGGGTTGAAGAGGGCGATGAAGCTCTGGCAGACGACTGCCATCCACTCTTATCTTCTTTCGACAATTCGAGAATCTTAGTTACAGCATGATTCCCTCGATCCATTTTCGATTCTTCTCTTTTCGATCCCCATAAGCCCTACATCGATGGCAACGATGCGATATAAGCAATCGGCAGTGCTTTACGAATCGATCAAACTTTATACAGTTGAGGGTTACCTGTAGAAAACCTTGAAGTTGAGAATGCTTTGAATATAGTTTATGGAGAAGCTACGAAACCCATCTGATTTAATAAAGTTTTTTCTTCGTCTCAGAAATTTTCCCGCCATCCCCTTCCCATTTCTTCGACAGTTTTCCGATCATCTATACCTACGATCTGATAAGTATAATGATCATTGGATTATTGTTTTTATTTAACGCCAGTTTTTATAGGATTTAATTTGTTTCGCTTACTAGTTTTGCTATTTTACGACATTTCAGTTTTCAATCTTATTTTCTTTTGACTTCGATATTCTTTCACTTATCTATAGTTCGTGTAATATATCCTGTTCTGACAGATCAGTGTATATTACTAAGTATAGATCGATTGTTTTTTTTTTTTCGATCACCGTTTTTATACGATTTCGACTTCGATCTTCTTTGTCGACAATAGCTACACTAGCGATCGAGGGGGAGGGAGAGTATATAGGGAGCTGGAGGGTCTATAGGGACCCGAAGGCATTGAGTGTAGGGAGCTGGAGGTCCCAAAGGGAACCGGAGGCGATCCGAAACTATATGTGGAGGAGGAGCGGATGACTATGGTAGTGGGAGAACGCGTACTACTATACTTGGGGGAACACTCTGGTGTTCTATCATATAGGAGATGATGGAACCATCTCCTACACTCCTTATGGTAGAGACCAGCAAGACCAAGGTGATCAAGGGTATCACTGTCAGTCTTGTGTCCCCTCTTGGATATGTTTAAGAGGGAGAGGAAGAGTTGTAGGATACACTCTATGGGGGAGCGCCCTGGTGTTCCACCATATAGGAGAGGTGTACGATATCTCCTATACCCTTGTAGAGGAGAGCAAGGATCAAGGGATCCTATATGATCAGGGTGATCATGTAGGAGACTGTATCCCAGCTTCTCTACTAAGAGGGAAGAGCTGTAGAGGTACAGGCTCTATAGGTCAGTAGGTATCGTACCACCAGTACGATCCCTACGCCCTTAGAGAAGCGTCTACACTAGGTATTGGGTAATCCTAGAGGAGAGGTTTTTCTTTAAAAAATTGATTAAAGATATTGGTTCCTGGAAGAGTGTGTGAGATCTGATCCATTGATCCCATAGCGGTTTTGATAACTACAATCTCAAAGCGCTTTCTAACATCCGTTGAAATCAACTCGCTAGCTCCAAAGCACTTGTTAGCGACCCTCGAGATTCACCGAATGAGAGTGATCAAACGCTGCACACATACCTATACGATATAGATCATGCCGCTTAGCTTGATTGAGATCACTATAGCCCCGACTTACGACATAACGCCCCATAGCTTTCGATAGGCTACATAGCTTCAGATATGCGATATCAGCATGGGGGAGTGTTAGAAAAGGTGCTTATACCGCATATCACGCTATGCTGTATCGGGATTAGCCCGCATGTGACTCTGTCGAGTCCACACATATATATCGTATCTCTATGTAGAACTTAATAATATTAAGGCTTTTCCACCAACTCATATATGATCTTCTAACAAATAAGATAAAATGATTATACAAATTCGATTGAATATCGAAATACGATAATCCCAGTATATGAATCTAATGAAAATCTGATTTTAATTAACTTTATTTAGAAAAGTATTGAAGGCAAAAAACCTTGTTCAAAACAATGATAATCTTGTATCAGAGTCTGAATCAGATAATTCCGAAACAGATTTTGAGAATTGGGAAGTCGATATTGATGAGAAAGAGGAAGAGGAAAAGGAGGAATCTAATAATAAAGAAGAGAACAATGAAGTTAGAAAGCTTAAAAAGATTGATTTGAAAGATTTGAATATCAATCAAGAATTAAAATAAGTATAAAGATATAATATTTATTGATTCTATAAATACTAATATATAAGTTTAAACAGTTAGACTTTCTAGGATTTTGATTTGGATTAGAGCTTGGAAAGCTAGCGTAAAGCAGTTTATGACTAATTTAAAGAGTTTAAACGAAAAAATTGATGAAGAATCTTTGGATTTTTTATGAATAAAAGATTCGTCTGAATAGATTTATTTTGATTTTTTTTTATTAGTCATTTTTCTCTAGTCATTCTTACTTATTATCCCTTACTTATTATTATATCAAGTTATTAATATATTAATAGAGTATATTTATATCCTAATAAACTCCCTCATAAAATATTCAGTCATCGACAATGTACTATTTGGAGAAATCTTGCTTTTTGGAGCTTTGATATTTTGAAGCTAGAGGAAGAGAATAATATCAAGCTTCCTAGACCTAAAGAATAATAGACCTCTAATAAGAGCTATGATCCAAAAAGATATGGATTTTGGATTCCTAAAGATAGGGTGAGATATAAGCAAGCTTGGAATTTACTCCATTATATAGAATGAAAAGAAGATCTCTCTCAACTTCTTAAAGAATTCGAAGAAATGCTAGAAGCTATGACAGAAGATAATAGTAAATGGAGAAACCCTGATAATTACTTTTTATTCTAATTATATGTACTTATCAAATTCTATTTCAATACAATATTGCTTTTCTTTCTCTCACACTTTTCGAACTCTTTTCACCTTACAATAATCTCTCCACATAGCCTCTGCAATTCCTTATCGAAAATAGTCCATAGATTGTAACGAAATAGAATCTAATTCGTTACTACTTGAATTCATTATTATATCATTTATAGTGCTTGGAATACAATCGATAATACAATTAAATTGAACTTCGAATAAATCTTCTTCGAAACTATTTTATTGAATAAAGTTATATAAAACGTATAAAGCATAAACTATACATATTTGAATTGTATATAAGTATTTTTATTATTATATTAGAAATGGAAAGCACATTTTGAATACTCCAAAAATTCTCTCAACCTTATTTTATAAAGAAAAATATCAAAGATTGAAAAGCTTTTCTGATATTTTAAGTATCTTATTGGATTCCAATTGCTTTTGTAAATGATATCTTACCCCTTTGAATAAAATAAGAATCTACCCAGTATTTATATATTCTGTATCACCTAAATAATAATAATCTTCTGGAATTCGTAAATCTTTTGAAATCAAAGTATCTGAAAGCACTTTTTGATTATTCGTAGAATCTTCCCAACCAGCTAATATATAACAGAATTGTAAATTGAAAATAACTATTATAAGAATATTCTATACAGTATATTCTTTTCGATTGAAATAAGCAGATCGATCTTTGAAAGATATTATTATTGGAATAAAGGTGCCATCGAGAGCTCCTAGGCAATTTGCAAAATATATATAATATTTTTTATCTTCTGCTACTCGAGGAAGAGCGAATTGTATAGTTGGATTCGGTAGCTTTATTACTAATAGGTATAATATCATTATAGCATTTAAAACTTGATAAAACTATTTTAAAGTGTATTAGAATAAACCAATAAATAAATTTATATAAGGTGTTTTTCATATCTATAGATTATTTCTTCAGAATGAGAAAAGGCTTCAGCTGTACTATATATAGTTTTATGCTAGCCTATAATATAGAGAAATATATATAGCTTTTGATCAATTGAAGTATATTAAGAGTATTGTAGCTTGTTTTTTTATAACAAAACTCGATCAAAAGTCAAAAAGTATATAGAGGTATATACAGTTGTTCTTAACAACATTGAGGATATTAGAATCAAAAAGAGATTGTGTTTTAAATTCACCAGGAATATCAGTTCTTTTTTTCGAAATTGGAATATAATAAAAAGAGCCAATAACAGCAGCTAAATTATAAATCAAGATAGGAATAAACTGTTCAGAATCATCAACCTCATTGTCGCTTATTGTGAATAAGAAAAAGGTAATTTACAATTTAAATCATTAATAGAATTTAAAGCTATATAGAAAGAATATTGAAGAATCTACTTTTAAACTAAGCTATATATATTTTAGTATATGGGAATAGAAATGTAAAGTAATCTAAATCGAAATCAGAGACGATTTGAAGAAAAATAAAGATACCCTATAAATTTAGGTATTTGAAGCATTAATATCATTATAATATTATATGGATATAGGGTGAAAGGCTTATAAGAGTTTATAAAAACGCGGATTATTTGTTAGATTGAAAATGAGGATTGCTTTTTCTAATCTTTGTTTTCAATTTGCGCTTTTGTTTTCCTATATAAATTTGGTAAAAAATACGGATTATTTAGTATCATTTTAGAGTGATCTATTTCCTTCCTATTTCGAAATATACTAAATTTATTGAAATACAGATTATTTGACAAAATCCGCGATTTGACATTCAAACATGAATTCAAAATCCGTTTTCAAAAAGAGCGGAATATTCAGTGGATCCAGCGCGGATTTGTACATCCAAACTAGCCCTAAGGTCGTAGTCTACCACACTTCCTAGATTTATCAATACTGTTGGAGAATTATCAAGCCATTCAGATAATTCTGGATCTTGTTCTGCGGCTGTTGCTGTCGAAAGAAAAATAGGCCCGCATTGGACTACATTCTCAGGAATGATGTCGAGAGGATATTCGAGTTCTTGAGAACTTTGAGATATCCATGGATAGTCCTTGTGATAGACGGTGAAAAAATCCATGGGTTTTGCAATTCCATTTTCTTTGAGATATGCGCGCTTGGAAGAAGTAGTTGGAGCGAATAGCACGCTGTATGCGAGACGCAAGTTCCTGTATATGTTTGAAGGGATGAGGTGCCAGGGCACTGGATATGGGAATGCGGAACTTAAACTAAAAATTGTGAGTACAATTTGTGTCAGAAAGTTTGAATTGCTTACACTGGATACTTCCAAAGTACAGCTCCCCAAGGTTGATACTTTGCAAAACTATCTTTCAGAGTATTTGGTGAGATAATAACATGATTACGTCCCTGGGCTCTCACAGCATCAACGCCAGGACCAAACACTGGGTCTACAGCCACAATACTCGGATCTACAGTCTCCAATATATCAGAGATCTCTTTGTAGATATCAAGATAGTCGGGAGCTGTCCAGGGCATCACCATTTTTTCCAAATTACTGCAAAATCTGTTAAAATCGGCGAGTGAAGGTGAGTTGATCGCCGAATCAACTTTGAAGCCACCACCGTTCAAAGATTTCTTGTATGATGGACCTTTCAATTAGTGGAAAGTAATAGTTCTTTTACTTCCCGTGTTTAGTGCGAAATTAGAGATCATAGTAATGTCATCTTTTAGTTTTCCAAACGTGGCGAAATGGATGTCGAGATCATTGTATTCCGTGAGTAAAGCGTGACTAGTTGCCAAAAAGACATTTGCGAATCCATGCTCACTATTTGTGACAAACAAGACAGTGTCATTCTTTCCACGCCATTCTCCAATCTTTTTAGCGACGTGATTTTCTTCGCCCTGTGGTGACGTTCCGGCATATAAATATGCTATGCAGGCAAAAGTTGCCGCGAGAGAAAAGTAAAAAGGCTGTTTGAACATTTTTTGTCGTGATGAATGAAAACGAGCATGCTAAGACGTTGAACAAAACTTTGAAAAATGTTGGTGTTCCCTCGCTTTATGACTTTTGGGGGGTTATGTAGTATTCACCCCTTGTTGAGGATCTACTGTCACCTATCTTTACGTGAAGCCTTATCTGTTGCATATCATGTACTTACATGCCGAGTCAGTTGAATGAGCTGTAGAAATCGGATCTTGGCTCGTGTGTGGTGTATATATTTGGACCCAAATTACTTTTCCGAGATGGTGATACCATGGCATTTCGTAAAGCAACTGGCGATGACTGATCGACCATTTCACTGGCATCTCATTCTAACACGTCTGCATTGTTTCCCTCGAAAGTACGAAGTAAATCGTCCACTAAAAGGAAGCCCCATGTATATAGATTGAACGATTCTTTGACAGTGGATTTTGGGTTGATTGATGAGCAGTGTTTGTAAAGCTGCGGCTGACAGATTCAAGCTGAAGCACTCATTTGATTGTCCAATCCAAACGGGGGCCTGGGGCACCATGAGCCGGTGATCTGACTATTTGTTGAGATGATATGCATGTACAACGCGAATCAAGACGGATCACCAAATTAAGGTTGGCCACCGGATCTGATACCAAATGTAGGTTGCTCCATGATAAGCCTTGGAGCCATTGACGAAAATTGGTAGCACAAACAAAACCATTCATTCTCTTTCAATGGATGCACACTCGTAGCTTCCAATCATCTCTGTGAAGAGTTGCATAGTTGATATGTATTCCTCAGAAGTTCTCATTTGAAGATTTTCAATGCTGTACATAGGTACCTAAGTACCTTCTCGTAGTTGGAAATCATTGTGGTGAAGTTTGAGGTTTTGACAAGTGGTGCTGATTCAGGGGTTTGACGCTAGTAATATTAGGCCGTTCAGGCTCTCGATTGAGAATTTTGCGCGCGCGGAGCATTTTCGGCCAAAGAATTCCTCAACCTCACAAGAAACAATTGTGTTGTTTTCGACAAATCGGAAATTGATTTTGGAAGACTGAAAGTCAAAATAATGTTCAATCTTGCTGTCTGAGGATGGTTGTATGGCCATTTGCTGCCCAAATCTTGTCTTCTTTAAGTCATTCGGTCAAATCTGAGAGATCAAAATGTGTTCCTGAAAGGCGTCAAGCTGCCTAACACACAACCTTCTCGATCTGTACCTCGTTTCTGACTTCTTACACTCTCAAAGATTTTAATATCTCTCAAGAATCTTGCATCAGCTAGGTAGTTACCAACTTTCAGACAGAGACGCAGCTATTCCGAACCCAAAGAAAGGTTGTTCGTGTACCTGACTGTGGGTAATATCCAACAACATCATAGTTATATCTAACCGCCCTATAGTAAGAATTCTACATCGAGATCTTACTCGTCTGATGAAGCTATATCAACCCTGGATTCCCTCGCCCACGCTATCTCGAAAGCATTCGAAGATGCAAAGATGCAAAGAAGGAGGGCATTTCCACCAATGAACGTGAATCTTTCTAGAAAGAAGCTGAAAATCGTTCCTTGAACGCTACTTTTCTCCCAATTATAGATTAGACTTTGGCATGGTCCAACAGTGGTCTCTCACAATAGGGCATGATGAAGGTGATGTTGTCCATCCAGGCTATTCCTCAATGAGTTGTGTGAAGAGTAGAGGACAAGCAAACTCAAACGAGCCTGATATATAATGTTTACATCTTCACTATCATCTTTACAAGTTTTTTTTCGATTGGAGACCTCGTACGCCACGTGACTCTATGAATTTGTTGATTTATACGTTCGGGAAGAGGTTGCTCTTGGTGGGTGTTTTTGTATAGTACAGTTGGCACGATGCTATCTTTCTTCGAGATTACTAAGGATGCTTTTGATGGCATCAAGACCAACCGGTTAGATGATGTTGACTAAGGTCAAGCTGGTTCCTTGGTCATAGATTTGATGTTGGTTTAAATATCACACATTATTATCCAGGTAATTCTCCATTCAATTTTTAAGGCTTATGTTTTCATTTTTCTTTTCATATTATTAAATAATCCTGAGATTACACCGCTGGAGACAGGAAACTTGTACCAATCAAAAACATTTCTAATACGGGCCCTCGAAGTGTCAGAGGATTACACGGAATCCTTCGCAGTCCCAGATCATCATTCCATCATAAATCATAAATCTCATCCAATTTCATTTCATCTCATCATTCCTTCACGATCAACTCCATTTGCCTTTATGCAGGTGGCAATGGGCAAGTAGTCCAGTCCGTGATACATTCAGCCTCTGCAAACAGTCAGCATTGTCACACATCTCATATCATCTAAGCGGTGACGTACCAACACTGGCGACACAAGGTGCGACATCTTCATCTGTGCAACCATGGCCACAACTCTTCAACAAACAGACGGCATAAGCGCCTTGCGCATCAGAACAACTGCATTCCTTCACGCGAGCTTGGAGTGCAGCAGGAATCGTTGGACGTGCAGCGACAAGAGTGAGGCCGGCGAAGATGGCGAAGATGGTTGAGAATTGCATGTTGACTTTTTTTTTTTGGATTCGTTTCTGAATATGAGAGGAGTCTCGTAAAATCGCTATACTATGCTGTTCTTGGCCTCGTGTTGTTGATTTGTATGTTCAACGTCGTAATATCACGAGGTATTTATAATATTCCTTCTCTTATCCATTGCCACCCAAAATATCTCATATCAATAATGCCTTCCCCTTTCATCGGGTTGCATCTCAGCTCCGTTGTGAACGGCATATGCATCAAATCGCTGCAATGCATTTACAGCGAATTCTTGGCATCAGTCGATTACAAGAATCTGGATAACATGCATACATACATGGGTAAGTGCCCTGCATACAATTACCTAACCCACATCTAGAGATAAAGAATTTCCACGGTCTCCGATTTGCACAATCCACAATTGAAAAAGTGTTCACTCCAACGATATGCATCGTCACTTTTAAATGTCAGCTTGTCGGAAGCTTCCGTGTGGACTCCACCAGACTCGAAACTTGATTTGGATATCCGAGCCGCAGCGAGATCGCTAGGCGATTGAAAAATTAGTTAACGTGCAGCATGCACGGTATGAGGCGAGACCGTTAAAGAAGGCGATCAATGGTAGGTGCGGGGCCAAGATTAGTAGATCCATGAACGTTCTCCACCTGCTTCGACGTCACTTTTGTGTGATTTTATTTTCGGTTACTTGAATATTGGATATTTTCTCAATCGCAGTGTACACGTTGTTCACCGTCTTATTGATCTATCTGTAGGATAATTTTCATTCGCAACAGCAAGTGAAGTCAAAAATGCCTTTTTAGGGACTTGCGAGAATACTTGATGCAAGGTGCTTATCTCGGTACTATGCATCTGATGCTCAGAATGGACGCAAGTCCGACCAACGAATGAGCAATCACAATTCTCTATCTCCTCAAAGTCAAAGATTCAGCTGCTAACAATTTGAATTCACATGCACAAATTAATGTTCCTGAAGTTATATCCTACTTTGGTTTTACTTTCCAAATTGAACCCTTCAGAGATATCAAATTCTATGACAAAGGAATTCGATTTCTAGACTCAATTCAAATTTGAGATTATACTCAAGACTTCACAGGCAATCATGTATTTGCTACTTTTAAATTTGGACTGCAGTCAGGGCTGTCGAGGACCCTTCTCAAATCTCAATACTTTGGAAGCTTCTCAAGAGAATATTTTAATGATTACGTCAAAGTCATCATACGAGGACACCAACTAACGATTTTGATCTCATTTCAGTATTTAGCTGCGCGCGAATATCACACTTAGACTTCCGTTTTACTCCACGTCAGCTGAGAATACTTCACGAGGTGTGATGACGAACAGTCACATTCCATTGATCTCCAGCTGGCAACAGAGTAGAAAAAGCGAGGACTCAGATTGCTTTGAGGTAATTGATGAGATCGATCGACTACCTGGGTACTCGCAAAACGTTACCATTTCTCCCATCGTCAAAATTCATGAGAAAAGAATGCCGGAGTGGCTAGAGAATTATCAACTCACACATTTTCTCAAGATACGTAGCTTCAGATTACCAAGATCTGCAGATTTACGAAAATAACCAGATGTGAGGCCTAAAAGATCTGGAGGTTTATTATCACGCTGGTTCAAAGATTGTCCGTTTTTCGCAAGCTGCAAAACTGATTAGCCTCCCTAAATTCCAACGGCCTCTTCCCTCCAAACTCTATGCCCCCCCCTCCATCCGATCCAAACATTCTTAGCATTTTTTTCAATAGCTTGAAATTCATTCACCCTCATCTCATACTACCCGTCACCAATGCATCCAAACGATACAAAAATGAATGAGATAAAGGGTAATGTGATTGTAATATGACTGAAAACAGGGAATTTGGTGCGACAATGCATCTTACAGGAAAGTTTATTGTTTGCTCTGCTCTTGAGATAACTTCCATCCAGCATATCTTCTATATCCACGATAATCCCATCCGTCAAATAACATAGCCAAAAAGTTATGAATGGTACTCTTCGGATTTGATGTTCCAGAAAACGCCCATTTGTCAATTAAAGTATAAAGCAAAAGGATTGTTTATCAGTGATCATTATAAAATCTGTATTTGCTACTATACATAACAACGATTCAATAAAGGTCTAAAAGACCATCCAAGATTATACAACGAAGGGCCCCTAATATACGCCGCTCCTATCCGATTCCAATCTAATATTTTAGCCCAAACGCCGATCTCAATATCATCACCAATTCTCCCTCACAGATTATACCGTCTCACTACCTACCCCATGTGTTCTTTGTATTTATTCTTGCCCTCGCCAACGCTTCCTCCTCCTCCCTCTTCTTAGCTTTGGAACTTTGTTTAATACCAGAACACACAGAGACCAAAATCGCTATCAGCACAAATCCTCCAAGACAAGCAAGCACAAAAATAGTCAAGTCTGCCTTCTTCGTAAAAGGTTGCGCAAAAAACGGTCTTTTGTAATGCTTATTGATAGCGGCTTCTGAGAGCGCGGCCAAACAGTGCAGCTGCGGGGCAGCATTAGAGTCAGAAACACTGGCAATAGAAGTGAGGGAACAGCGGTCCAGGATTCGGGTCACTGTGCTGGCGATTATAGGGATCGTTGGACCGTGAGAGTAAGGGGGGTCGGACCAGGAGGAGGAAGAGGAGGAGAAGGCGGCTAGGGTGACGAGAGTCGCGCCTGCACGGGGTGCGGGTGCCATTTTTTAGGTAGAGTGGATTTTGTCTTCGCTGAGTAAGAAATTTTTTTATTAGATAGAGCTTTGTGTGTGATGTGTGCTCTGTGGAGTTGGAAATTTAGTGATTGATTTTGTTAAGAAATGGTAGTAATATGCTTTGACTTGAGAATCGATATGTATGTTAAGATTCGCACAGCTCGAAGTGCACTGACTCCTCTCAAATAATTGGGGAATACACCCCTTATATACAGGAGACTCAACAATCGAATCCACTTCTTCTATCATACCAAGACGCTTCCAAAACAAGAGTTTCCTAAGGAACCATTCGACTTTCTTGGTATCGTTAAATTCATATTATAGAGATGATCTAGGAAAGACTACATCTTCCTAAACTTCGTCTCAGCATCCTACCAAGAGACTTACGAAGAAATAGCTCTTATTTCAAGCGCATTACTTTGTTAGTAATACTAGTATATCAATATTCTAGCAATATTCTAGAAAGCGTATTCTCCTTCCAAGTTCCATTCCATCCTAAGAGAAGAAAAATTCCAGACTACCCCACTTCCCCAATCTAGCTATCTCATAGTCTATAGATCAAGTTCCTACTAAGCTCTTAGCTCCATGCTATCAGAGCACCCCACCACACTAGAAGACTTGGGGGTTGCTTAGAAACACCATTTTCATTATTTAGCACCTAGGTTGGTAGTTACAGAGGCTCGGCAATAGCATAAAATGTGGAAGATTTACCGAAAGCTGGAGATTAGGGGAATTAATGACGTGCATTAACACGCGCGTGACATGGCAGCGGAATCTAATCTGGAAGTAGCGTGTTAAATGTTGTAATTGATCGATATTTTACTGTTCCGGGTGATTAAGGTAATTGTGTGTGGAAATGTTGTCACTTGGTTCATGGCGTGGTGGCTTTAGATGGATAGTATCCTCGACGTTAGTGATATTCTCATCTGTTCCGAAGAATGTTCCGCAGGTTGAGACGTTTATTATCCAGTAATATCTACTAGCAAACATTTTATAAAAATCCCAAATTCCAAGTCCGGTATAACGCATCCACGCCTTGTGTTAGCCCCAAGCACTAACCAAAACGTCTGAAAATATGTTGCAACCCTTCGTTTACCAACCTATTTGATGACAAGCCCCTTATTGAACCTCATCTCATAACAAGGAACGTTATATTGGATGCAATTGGACATTTGTTCCGGCAATTTTGTGATTATGTACGCCGAGAGACTGACCTGGACACCGAAATGGCTCGTCTCTCAAGCGATCACGTTCATACATTGGCTGGACCTGTCACTACGAAAAACCATGCTTAATTTCATATCTTCTTGCTTGCGATCTCTCCCTTGGGAGTTTTTTGTTTGAAAGCTTTTTTGAGGTTTTTTTTCTTCAAATCTGCCAGTCCGATTTGCTTATCTCCCCTGAAACTGCTTGTGATTCCCGGTTATTTGATGATGCTCTTTCATCTTTTCAAGGGGTCTCATATCATCCTCATCTGGCATGCATCTCATGGAATACATTGGCAGACTTTTCCCCTACATGTTGTCTAGCCTTGTTCTAGAGCTTGTTATCTCTTTTCTAACTCACCGGATCCAAAATAGTTTGATATTAGACGTATTGAAGCGAAGAAAACATGCTATACACGTATGAGGATTTGAATTTCTGTGCTGTGGCCATGATAACTGTTGAAATTGAATTGCACGGTAAACGACAATATTTGCGTCGACCTAGATAATCAACGAGATATTAGGAAGAGACGAGGTTAACGTTCACACGAATTTTTGAATGAATGATTCGTATGGATGAAGCGATGGCAAAAGATGACGCTCTCCGCCTTCACGAATGGGTTGAGAAAGACCGTTGGCGAATAGAATAGTTCCTCGAGTATTTAGATAATGACATGTACGTCTGCATCCTGTACGTCGCATAGTGAGGCCGTACTCATAACTCTAGAGATTAGGACCATCGTCTGTACCGGAGGACACAATGAACAATTACATGGATGTTCACGATAAAGGACCCAGACCAGTTGAATGCATGTATTATTGACTATGTAGGTTGAAATGTTTAAAGCTAAAATCTAGCAACGAAGTAGAAGTGATAAAATATCCATATATGTAACCCAGGCGCACGTGCCAAATTTGTCCAATAATGGAGCTTATAATCGAGGTTTACGACCGTAACCGCTAGCGTAACCCATGAATACGGCTTCTATCCCGACTAGCTGGGTAGCTGTATTGTAAACTAGTCTTCGTGCATGTTATAAGCTCTCTGTTTATCTCTCAGTTAGATTCTATAGACCTAAATTTACGTCTATTACACACCAACTTCGATATTGTATCTACCTCAAACTTCTAAACAACAAATACCTCACCGATTCAAAGCCAATTTTACAGCATGTCTGTCGCATTACAAGGTCCCAAAACATTTAATCGCTTCAAGGATCTTCCAGGAGAAATACAACACAAGATATGGAAGCTCAAGATTGAAGAAGAGATTGAAAATCTTACAGAGGGTCGCATCATCAAGGTCAAACAGCGGGAGTTAAAGCAGACTATTCGACATGTGGCTGGAGAATAATAAAGATTCTCAATCGATTACAGACCCCTTGTCGCGAGCTATGGAACTTTTTCGAAATATTAATTCTGATGCCACGATACCTCCCTACGAACAGGGAATGATTGATCTTGGACATAGCTGGCATATGAAAGAACCACAAAGAGATCTAGATGAGAATTTAATCGGCATGTATTCGCCACAGTCTCTACCCCCTAGCATTGCTGCATTATTGTCAGTCAACCACGATTTGAGAATGCTCGTGGACAAGACATACTCCTTTGCATGTGGAATCGCAGAGCCAATGGTGTTCTTTAATTTTGAGCTGGATACTCTCTTTCTTAGTCATAAAGATATGCACATTGCTTCTAATAAACTGGGTTTCTGCAATTCACTGTTTAGCGGGCTAGATGGTGGGAGACGAAAAGATTGGGAAAAGGTCAAATTCCTAGCCATAGAAGTCATGGTTGGCGATTTTTGTGGATTGCTCCGAGAAAACAAATATGACATCGATTGTTTCTTGTTCATATCCATCATTTTCTGTTATTTTACTAGTTTGAAGGAATTGACCTTGGTATTCGGAGACCACTCTGAAGCCGGTGAACATGACGACCTGATTTTTTTGAGCCTGTCCGTCCTCATGACGCATTCACATTCCTGAAATGGGTATGTGTTGAAGACTTACAAGACTTCGAAAATTGCGATCTTGACCCTCCTAGACATGTGTACTACCATGTGATTAAACGGCTACTTTCACATATTTCGAGTTTTGCGAGACATATAGAAAAGCTTACAGAAGCCCCTTTTCACGTTCCGGAGGTCGAATCAATGTTCCAAAAGACGATTCTCGGACCTGGCTGGCAGAGAAAATTGGAGGGTGCACGCCAAAATGGCCTCAGATTATGAATGCAGCTGGTAGTCGTTGAAGACAAATTGTGGAAGGATACAGGGAGGATGAAGGGACGAGCGGAAGCATACTTGCCAAAGCTTGATGAAATACATTCTAGAGAGTCTAATATGAGTCTTTAGATCCATCCATATTGAGGTTGTATCCGGCTAGTAGGAACTGGGCTACAAACGGCAATGTGCCTGCTTGCTTTGAAAGGAACAGCAGTGCGAGAGCAGGAATTGGCAGTATGATAGCATAATCAAATCGCTCCACGCATGGACTGTTCAGCTACTGTTATGTGATTCTAATAGTGAAAGTGATCAAAAGGCTTGTAAGAATTATTTATAGCGTATTCATCGGCTTGAAGGAGTCACCGATAATATCAGAATTCTTTGCAACATTCAAGACTTCATCAATCGTATCTGTCCCCTTCGATTCATGTTATCTAAGTAGATGGATCGAGATATCATGTGAATGCTCAGATCAAAAGAGATCACATAATACTGGTTGTATATCAGAGCTGGGTCTAATTTGTATTTTGTAAGCCATCTTCTTGAATTTCAGAACCACGCACGCATGAACCCCACACTCTACCAAGTGCCTAGAACACCTCTCCCAATCACTCAACAGTCCAACTAATCCCAAAAAGATAAAAACCAATGATTCCTCTCAAACAGACACGTCCACATCGGACTACTAACCACAACATCATCACCCTTACAATCAAAAGAAGTAAATCCATAAACTATTCAAGCATCATATTAGTACTCAGGTCAAAAACAAATGTCAAGCATATAGATAGATACATACTAGTAGAAATACACCCAGGAACAGTAATAGCTGCAGAAACTGACTGCGCGCCGGGAAGAGGAAGATTGGTGCATGTTTCATCGGTGGGTAGAGTTATCTCTTCGTAGGAGACTAAACATGCAGAGTCGTTCCACAGATTTAGTTGACTTTCTTCAATCCCGGCAGTGGCTGGGAAGCTGAGGGAGAGGGGTATTGAGGCTAGAACTTCGGAATGTATTGCTGGGGTGTTAGTGTGGCTTTTTTGGATTTTGAGCTTTTGATGATGAGATTAAGAATGTACAAAGAGAATGGTGTGACGGAGTATTAGACTTTTAATAAAACATTTTACAAAAATCTGTAACCTAGTCTGTTTGTCTTACGATGCTGACCTCAGGAAGCGTAGATAAAGAAGACATAGATGCGCCAACGTGAACACATCATACATCATCTACAAGCAGTGCAAACTTCATGAATATACGAACAATTCAAGGTATCAGATGTTCTGTAATCACTATTGGGCTGGCGTTGCAGACTCAAGTTGATCCAACAATTGACGGATACAACTCATCATATCACCATCATGATTACAAACTCACTCGCAACGTTTTTGCGGCTCGCAAGACCGTATTTACACCGCTGCTTACATTTCTTATGTGGGAATTTGTGAGTTTACATGGGCTCAGCGACAAATAGGTTCCAAAAGTTGAGATAAGGACTTGTAGTACGAGAGTAAGCTACCGAAATGTAGAATGATATTGGATCTCTCGTGAAACCATTATAAATCACATGGAGTATTTGACTCTCCGGTGACATTTACGCTCACGTTACTTCGATTCACGAAAACAGAATCAGTATAGACTCAATTAAAACGTCTCATACGTCAGATATTGAATGTAAGTGATGAGGCCGAGAAAAGACATCAAATAGTATACACAAAGACCTTCAAATATTCTCACTGCCGTTTTCCTTTAAGGCCAATGTGATTGATAATTCTGCTACCGTGAGGTACAGTAAATGCGAAACGATGACAAACTGTTTGATAATAGGGAACTCGACCAATGGTTACGAAAGTCTTGGATACGAGCTTACTGAGCTACCTAGACTCTGAAAGGCTTACATCTCGGTACTTCGGGTATGATCTGGTCTTCCGAGCCAGGGAAAAAGAAAACGAACTTAAGTCTAGACGCGCATATGAATGCGCATCATCATATGAAGGATCTAGTAGAATCATGGGAAACACGTGTACACCAAATTTTGTTTAATCACTTTGACCGTCTCGCTTCTCGTATGTTGTACACTAAAAGGCAGGGTTCTATCTTTCTCATTGTGTGGCAAAATATATACTCATTAAGATCTCCAATGACGATCAATGATCAGAAGAATGTACCCTTATAAGCTCCTGCGAATGCTGCAGCAACTAACTTTTGAACCGCCTGGCCAGGATGAAAACTGTTCCACCACAAACAGCTCACTCCATTTGTGTTATAACAAACTGCATTTGGAGAACCATAAGCTGTTGGGTTATTTAGGGCAGTGTTGAAGGGAATCTGTGAAGATGTGTGAGTTATGTACGGCAAACCGGCTTAGAGTCTTGACATACTGAAGTATCAATCACTTTGACAGTAGTCCCAGATCTTTCGGATTGGAACTGAGTAGCCGTGTTTTTGACAAGAGTATTCCACGCTGCAATGCTTGAAGCGTACGCCGCTTGTGAAGTGCTATTCAATGCTAGAACTCTGGGAGTCTTATTTGTGGCTATTCACTCCAGTCAGTTCCTGATACATGATCGTCAAATCAAACACCAGGATAGAGACTTACGTGGGACTGTCAACAATGCAAAATTTCTACCTCCATAGTAATACATTATGTCAAGCTGCTTCCAGTAGGTATCGAAGATCTCCGTGAAGAGTGTATTTTCATTAGAATATGTATAACTGAGATCGATATCATTGATACCAAACCATATAGCGAAGAGTGTATTTGCCGAAGTCCATGGGGCATATGAAGGTTTTGGTGCAAGATTAGCAGTGAAGATTGCGGTTTGTTCGACTAGTGATTTAGCACCATTTGTGATGGAAGGAACGACATTGTTATCCACTGTTGAGCCTCCAACAGCAAAATTATACGATAGTGTTAAGGAGGTATTATATGCGGTGACCAAATAATCGATCCAATTGAGACCCGCATCTGTTGTAGTGCCTGGAAACGGAGGATTTCCAATCGGATTATCTGCAGAAGGCTTCGTACCAGATATCGAGAAGAGTGTTCTTGTGTAAGAATCACCGCTAGTAATATCGATTAATACTGTCCCTCAAAAAAAGCTGGGCACTCTCACAAGGAAAAAAGATATTTGGTTCCTGTTGCTCTAGGCGAAAAGGAGTTTAGGAACGGGAAAGCAATACAGCTATCAACCAATAACGGAACAACGAACAAATATCGAGATAACATGGCTCAAACTGTAGTTTTTGAAAGCAAATGAGAGTGGCCTCATAAACAAAAGTTGGGTGAAGACGTGTGATAAAGTATCTTCCCAAATTGGGCTCTATCGTCAACTACAACGATACCCCGCAAATTTCCCAAATTCTCCGTGGCTCCATGGCGAAATACGGTTCCCGCAACAAAACTATACCGAAAGCTTACTTATTGGGTAAATTCTGATTGGGACGGAAGGACTATTAATGTCGCAATTGAATTATAACTCCATTGAAGATTTCCGGTAAAGAAAAATATGCACGATGATCGATCTGAATAAAGCAGAATAAAATGCAGTGTGAAAACATTGGCAGAAAGCTGAGATTATATTGGAAAAATGCATATCAAATTATGAAGGGAGAAAGTACCAAGTATCGCTCCATGAGTAACTACAATTAGTATTCATCTTGACTTGATGCTATTGAGTACATGGAGACAGTTTGCCTTTACAGCGCGCTGTCGTCTGATAAGACTCTGAATACCTACCTAACTTCAATCATCAACCATCAACGGTCATTATTTGCTTGGCGAACTGAATTGACACATATTACATGGTGACAATCTTGAAAACGGTCGTGATCCAGACTAAAGAGATTAAATGATGGGAGTCGTGATAATAGTGGCGGCAATGATGGCGATGTGATGATATTGAAGATGGGCAGTCGTTGTGAGGTTGTTATTTCAAACTTTAGTGTCACCAACGCGGGAGTAGCCTTAAATTTTAGCCCCCTCGCCCCTAAACCTTGATTTGACCCCCACCCTCAACGAAGTTTTTCAATTGCAGTGGAACAATTTTCATTAAAATTACATCAACATCGATGTTAATTAACGAAGCAATGTTTTTCAAGCTCTTTAACTGATGAACATTAGATAAGATACATCATCGGTAGATCAATTGAAACAATGTTAACATCCCACACAATGTGAGTAGAAGACACTACCGAGCTTTCTTCCTCTTCTCGTCAGTGCTAATTCTTCTGAATATAGTGATGTCGTTACAACTATTAGCTGACTTAGCAATAGTAAAAGTTTGATCTATAGGTTATGATGTCATGGACAGAGGTGTGAGTTATTAGTCATTAGGGCTATACTTACGCTAGGTCCATTACGCTCAAATGGCCTAACGTCACTCCAAAAATTATTGCATGTGTCATAGGTCAAGCATGAGTGAGGAATTCTCCATTGCTAGATCGTCTTGAGTAAGTATGATTCTGGAAAAAATTCACGGCAGCGGGATCTCAGTTGTTTCTGGTTTTCAGACACTTCAAATTTCATTTTCAATGGACAACAATTATCCACCCATGAGGTTCAATCATTGATTGCCATTTTATCCAAACCACAGCCAAACCAAACACCACCATATCCCCTCAACCCATACAAGGACTTTGAATGACCCATAGGCCACAAAAGTGCAAGCTTAAGCACAGGCGGTACAAACGGCATTGGAAGCGCTCAAGACTTGAAGTGCGACGGTAGCTCCACAATTGGTAATAACACAATTGGTAGCGTCACTTTCGATCTTGGAAAAGGTGGCAGCTGCGCATTCACAAGCGTAGTCGTCCGCCGCGCAATATGTCGCAGCGGCTGCATTGATGCAAGAAGCCTAGGATGAGTGTTAGATGATGACCTGAAGATTGACACAGAAGATCAAGCGAGGGAATTCATGAGGTAGATTTGAGAGTGAAGGGATAATGTTGTATAGGCCAACATAACTGAGGTAAAGAAAGAGATGACTTACGCCGCAAGCGGGCACAGCGGCCACAGCTGCTGTACAGGCAGCACTTTGAGCTGATACGACAGAGGCAGCTCCGAGAACAATAGCAGCGTATGAGAACTTCATGATTTCTGATTTTTATCAAAGATATATGTGGTGAATAATGGTGTTATTGTGTGATTGACTTTTGAGATTGCGCGATGACAGATGATCAAGGTGGAAGTTCTAACCCTTTTATAGTTCTTTCTTTATATTATGGTCCGCCATCCCCGAGCCCTTAGCAGTGAGCAAGCTCTATGAGCACAGGAAACCTAAACCTTGGCATGAAACGGAAAGAGATCCTAGACGTAAAAGTGCGGAGTTCCTGGTGCATTTAACCGGGGGTATGCATTAGCTGTTGCGGATGCGGGGAATCCCTGAACTATAACAGCCCCCATAATTTTGTTCCTGAAAGGGACATATAATGAGGGGCCTCAAGGAAGCTTTCCTCGGTACCCACATGTTTTATTAAAGATTCCAGCATGTGAAATGCACACAAACCGGGATTAGATGGCATATACAACTCAAAGTGAAGAAACGAATAATCAGCCGATTGAGTTCACGTTAAGGAACTTCCCAATGCTAGCTATCGTGCATAGTTGTGCAGATTAACATAGCGAATAATATGATTATATGTGTAAGATCAACTGGGAGGCTTGAGCAATTCTCCAATGAATTAAACTTTCAGAAATACTGTGGATGATATTTATCACTACTTGCAGATTGTGGATAGCTAGATCGTAGGATAGGTGGGCAGTTTGTCAAATTGACTCAACCTTCGGTACCCCGCCTTTAATGAACTTCTACATGAGATACGTTGACGGCGTTGAGTACCAACAGTGATTGGTTACTTGCAAGATAGTAGACTTTGAAGGCATAGTTCTGTCAGGCTATTTGCAGGGAACCAAAATGAGATATCATCATGGTTAGGTGCCTCCCCGAGTTCTGAATAGACCTTCTATATTTGAACAAGAGCGAGGTTTTGACATGAATCCTACTGTATCGGCATTTATCCGTGTTGAACACTATGCAAATTAGGCTACAAGTACAGTCATGTTAACAAGGTCACAAGGTACCTTCCTTCAGTTCTTCTTCTGGTATAATACTATGTCAATCTCTAGCCTGTGATCCTGGCGAGGTGTGACATGCTCAGGGTTTCTAGCAATGAATCCTTTGCAAAGTTACAAAAACCTGGAAGTCTTGACTACATCTGAAGGCTTCTTCCGATGAAAGTCGTGAATTCAAATAGCACTCGACCTTGAAGAATAAATCGGCTCCGACAATCCACAACATTATCATATTGAAGTCTAAGCCAGGGAGCTGTCGAAACTTCAAAACTCTCCAGCAAAAGTGTTGAATAGGACTACTGACTATGCTATCCATTCTTAAAGTAGATACCCATAATCACTTACATTTATCCATCAAGTAGAATGCATGTAACATGAATAGACAACGAATGAATTACACACCAATCACGCGCGAATCCCCATGTAAACTAGAATCTGTAGAAATTTGAGGGTTCAGATGGATCGTGGAAGTCATTTCCATACTAGCAGAAATGAGTCCCGAGGCATTTCAAACTTGAAGATTACCATGTGAAGCAAGATTCTCAACGGAAGTATTGATGCGAAGATATGCATGATCCTAAGCGGAGTAGACAAATCTGGAACAGATATCTTGGTGCAAGTTTGGAGAGATATTCTCCACCCGATGTGACGATAAAATGAGAATTTGAAAGCACTTGCTAGGCCACACCCAAAATAGAAGTTGTTCTGCCAAGATGGAAATGAGAGTTTATCGCCTGAGATAATTGAGCTCAAGTGGAAGGTGACTACCTGTCGAGACTTTTGACTATCTGTCGAGACTTTATGCGGTAAGCTGGAGATCGACATTATTCACGACAGCAATTTGACTTCGCGAAGCTGCACAGCATAAATGATGGCTGAGGATGCAGACGACAGGATATCCATCTTCTTGCTCGTCTCATTCAGGGACTACCATCAAGTACATAACTCTTTCGACCTGCCATATCAGTGTCCGACATGGATTAAAACATATCGTGTAGACAACACTTAACTGAACGCCATCTGGGTGTTTCGCATCTGTCCTATGACTTCCATTTTTGTATTCGTAATTATGGAATGAGGTTGAGGAAACTGTGTGTCTATGAATAACATCTTCAAACCTACCGATCATCTGTGGAAACGAAGATACATCTCATTATAGGTAGCCTTGTCCAAGAACGGAGGTTATGATGATGAGCGCGATGCCAAATTAGTAGGTATCGCAATCCAAGAGACGAATTGCGATATCTTGATACCAAGTCGTTGTACAAGGCTGAAAGAGCAATAGAGTGAATGGACTCATGGACCAATATTGAGTTTGAGTCCTGCAAACCTCTTTCGAACTTTGTTCCTTTACTCTCTAAATTTGTCTATCAATTGATTTTAGATAAAAAATTGAGGTATTCAACTTGGAATCAAATTAAATCATTGATGCTAACTACGAATTTCGTAACCATGACCTTAAGTGATGAGTCCATCAGTCCGTGCACTCCTACTGAAAGCTTCAATTCGCTGACTCAGCATGGTAATCACTCAACCTCACAACTTTCACGACATCTAGCTACATTAAAAGATAGTTGAAGTTGTACCATCGATTTTGAAGCCGTTATTGGCAATAAACGCATGGCCTAACTAAACTATAGCTCACCGTCCTGTCATGTCAGGGACAGAATCCCCTGAAAGAATCTGCCTCCTAATATCAACTTCCACAACCTCCCCCAACGATCCATCCTCACTCCTCAAATTCGCCAACTCATACGTTGTTTTCGACCCTATTCCGAAGAGAATTGATCGTATCTTTGGCATAGTCAATATCCTCATAGAGGGTTCTTCTATCGAATCTGTCCTTTGGATAGATTAATATTCTCCGTCTCATCACCAGATCGCGAACTGTCTGAAGTTTCTCAAGTTCGCCCAAAAACGGTATCAAGACTTCATCGAAGCTCCTTATAACATTTCCTACACTGCCATGTATATGCAACAATCCATATCCATATCTAACACAAGTTTCTTTACGCCTGTACAAAATTTGTTGATAAAGGGGATGTATATGCGCATGTTGAGTAACAGATCTACACCATGACAATCGCACCCGTGGGCTTCTCGCACATGGGTTTTTGGAGCGCCCGTGAATCTTAAAGTGCGAATTGAAGCTCTATTTTGCGGTCCGATTGTGTAGAGAAATCGGATGAATGGATCGTAATAAGCCCAGCCCTCCAACTCAAGAATTGGGACGCGTCTCTCAAGTTGATTGATGACACGTTCGATTTTAGATTCATATTCTCTAGCCGACAAATCTTTGTCTGTTGAACCGTCCGAGATACCCTCTTGGGATAAGGTAGGTTTTTCGGGACTTGGCCGGTGGTAGTCGCCGCCCTCGAATATCAAAGAAGGTGGACAGTCAGTAATTTCCGTACCGTTCATCTTGAAGCTGTATGCGTTATCTGCATATAACATTTGTGATCCAAGCTTCCATATGTACTTGCAGGAACGGAGACATGTGGCATCTATAAGAGGGCGAAGAACTCTTGTAAGCTCGACGTACGGAGATGAGTCAGGAATGCCGGGTCTAGGACCTATGTTCTTGCGAAGAACCACATCCGAACCACTCTCAAAAGATTTATACCTGTTTATAATGAGGTGAATCTGGGAAAGAAATTCGATAATCTGCTTCAGAGTATGATTCATCCCAGTTAGAAGTCACTACTGCCGGAGTAACAACCGCTCCGCCTTCAGCAACGAGTGTATAGGCAAAGATCAAGGTCAAAATTTCTGCTTTTGATTAGAAGTTGGAGCTTCCAGAAGCAGGCTCAGAGACATACCTTTTGGAAAACTTAAAAGATGGCATCGATGACTCCTCGGAAGATTCCATCCACGTTCGCTTTGATGGGTGCCAAGTAATTTTCGAATACTCTTAATTTCATATGGGATTCGATCAACGTCTTTGAGTGGACGAGAAGCTCCAGAATAGAAAGGACCTATAAATTTCCTGTTTGGTTTGCCTTGTGGCCCTTGTCCGATGACATAAAACCTTGAGGCTGACCAGGCTGTTTTATCATGGTAAAAATTGACATCTTCTAAATACGGATAATTATTAGTAGTGCTATTTCAGAATTGGTCAGAATACTCACCATCATTGTAACAATATAGTACGTCATTGACTGTGAAAGGAAATTTTGATAGCCATCTCTCATGATGGTGCTGAAGCTCGATGCAGCATGTGATGCCGATTCTCCATGGCTTATTATTTGGTTGCCACTGATTAAGAACAACTTCCTTCATGTCCGTGCATGGGTCCAGATCTGGATACATTTGTATGAATCTTCTCAGCTCGCCATCTAAAGAAAAATCAGGAAGTAGTAAGGCTCTAGCTTGCATGATCTTCTCACACGCCTTGTCATTGTCAGGTGCTATTTTGATTTGATTTTTGCATCCCAGATCACCCATGGGATATGAATGACTTATGCGTCGTGACATTTTGAGAGGTTTGTGATGTTGATGGCCGAGAAGTTGAAAAGCTCGGTGGAGCTTTCGACTCGATGAAAGGTGATGATTAAGGAAAGAGGAATTTTTCAGAAAAAGAAGTAGTCTTGAGTATCTTTGCAGAGAGGATTTATGGGTGCAGGGTACTGCGAATGTTGAAAGTCTAAGGAATAACTAAAGTGTCGTTGACTAATCATTGTTTAACAATTCTAGTTCATGCAGTGAATATAATATCATTACAGTAACAGTGCCACATAAAGAATTTGGTTCGAATCCAATACCCTTTGAAATCACTTCTTATCCAACCAGGACTTCTCCACTGTACTGCTTTTAAATAATGCTTTTTGATATGTGTTTTCAATGCCATCTTACTTATCCTCAGACAGGCCAAAACCTGTCTTATCCATACCAAAAGCTTCTCGCGCTATCTCATCCACTACAAGTTCTTCCTATATAAAGAGAAAGATTACGATATGCTTTTTTTTATTCAAACCCTAGCCATCCTCCTCGAGCTTACAACCTGAAGAGTCATTCACTACCAGTCAGCTGAGTGCGCAAGCACTGCAACATCAAGATACATTAGCTCATTTGACTTCACAACTGTGCCCCACCAAGATTGTATCCGAAAATAAAAAACACGGCAAAAATATCTGCTGAGAAACTTACTGCCGACACGAGACCACACAATCAGAGAAAAGTTGCAAATCACCGGTAAAATGACAAAGAGTAATAGCAAATTTCTCCACCCAAAAACGAAAGGAAAAATCCTCATATACAAGCTATTCTTGACCTGATGCTTGAATAGCCAAGTCGGGTACACTTAAGAAACAGCTTTTATACTGACACACATACAATCAAAAACTACAAGTATTGACCAAGAGACCCAGTATGAGAAATAAGCTCCAGGTCATAAAGCGATATTCACTTATAGAATGTTTTAGAAGATGCAGTGAAAAGTATCTACAACTTTACAAACCCATCTTTAATAATTACTAAGAATAGCACGCAAGAAGATTTCATAAGCATCACACTCCAAACAACTAACTTGTTTGGGAAGGAATTAGGGTAATATTAGAAGAAATGCTTTATTGAATGAGGCAATAGATAGTATTATGGATGTATATTTAAAACTGTTATTAGAAGTATTAATCTATGTCCAAAGTGTTGATATATTCCATTCATCCTATCCATTCTATCCATCTTATCCATTCATCTCATTCATTCTATTTATTCTATCCATTCTATCCATCTTATCCATCCATTTCGTTCATTCTATCTATCCTATATATCCATCCCATCCCATCCCATCCATTCATCCTATCCATCCCATTCATCCCATCCATCCCATCCATCCCATCCATCCATTCATCCCATCCATTCATCCCATTCATCCCATCCATTCATCCCATTCATCCCATCCATTCATCCCATTCATCCCATCCTATCCTATCCCATCCCATCCCATACAATCCATCCCATCCATTTCAAAACACCAATTCCATCCAACCCCATCTCACTTCTCTCAGCTTCTCACCTCTCTCAGCTTCTCTACCTACTACCTACCACTCACTCCTTAACTCCTTAATCCCTCTTCTTCTTCCTCTTCCCCTTCCTCAATACCCCATTCCTTTCCTTCATCTTTCTATCCTTCCATTTCCTGGCTCCTCAAATTTCTGGTTCCTGAACTCCTCAGCTCCTCAGCTCCTCAGCTCCTCAGCTCCTCTGTTACGAGCCGAACCCAAAGAATCCAATCAATACATATCTACCTACATATCTACCCACCGACCCACCCAACATACAAACAAAACACACACAGACACACACACACCAATCAATCACTTCTCAACACCTACTAGGTACACACACAATTACACGTGATATATGTTCATTCTACTACCAAAGTATTCATCCACATTAACAAAGAAAACTAAATATCCAATATCCAATATCCCCCTTCCCCCTACCACTCTCCCACTCTCCCTACTCGCGCTCCGGGTATCATTCTAGAACTATTAAAGAATATGTATGTATGTAAAAGAACCACTCTAAATATCAGCGGTAATGGTATAAGAAGTTTTTGAGCCCCATCCCGTCCCTTCCCCTCCTCTCTCCTTAAATATTCTCAAAACTCAAAGCTCAAAACTCAAATTGCAATAGAAATTGTAAATGAAAAGAAATGACAAAGAGAAATGATCTAATCAACGTCCGAATCCTCCACTATAGATTCCAGCCATCTCATCCACCGTACTTTCATCATCATCATAGAAACCTTCCTCACTTCCAAAATCCCCAAGTTCTTCACCTAAGCTCATTCCCAAACTTGGTTGCCCAAGTGAACTTCCACGTCTACTTCCATTTACCAACTCGTCATGATTTGACACTACAGCATCGGTATCATAGCTACTTCTCGACATAATCGGTGGAGTTGCCGATGCTTCCCTTCTAACTGGTACTTTATCTGCACGTCTGGGTGTCGCAGTTCTCGAACCAAGTCCACCTTGCCTAGCAGCGAATCGTTGACCTGTGGCGTTGAAAGCACTTAGTGCATTATCTCTCGCGAAAGTGGTTGGTTCCCTACTAATAATCACTGGTGGAGGTGCCCCAGGAGTACTAGGAAACTGTCTGGCATTACTAGCGGGTGGTGTCATTAACCCATTCAGAAACCCAGACGAGCCTCCAGCTTTAGAAGGTGTCGAGCTACCGCTTGAGGTAACATTGCCATTACCACCACTCATGAGAGCACTTGAATCCTTTGCTTGATTCTTATTTCTCCAATTTCCCCAAGCTGCGGCAAGTGGTCCTACGGCATTTGCAACTTGTGCAACTCGTGGACTAGCGGCAATAGAAGCCGCGATATTAGGAAGATTGATAGCTGAGCCACCATTCATAGCTCTTTCACGCTCTTGTTCCTCCATCTGAAGATTGGCACTCAGTCGAATAGCGGCATCGCGAACGTTATCTGGATTATATGTTCCTTTAGACAAGGCCTGCACAATATCCTGAAGATCACTCTTGCGTACGGATAGAAGTTCTCGTAGCCAGCTGATCTCATCATCACGTTTGCTAATCTTTGTCGAGGCCTCGGGGTCTACATCCATCAATTTCTGTTCAAGATCTTCAATCTTCAATTCACGATCTTGTAATTGATCTTGTAGAACCATGATAGATTCTCGGAGTGCTTGTGGTGAAATCTTCTCTGGCACATCCAATCCACGTGTGGATACTTTTTGCAGTGATGGCGATGGCAAGGACCCAGCTACACTTGCAGATCTTGCAGCTTTAGCATGAGTAGCGGCGGCTTGTGCAGCAGACCTAGCAACCTCCAATTTATCTTCCAAATGACTAACACGATCTTGAAGATGTTCCGTCTTGGCCGTGCTCAAACTCAATCGCTCCAAAAGATGTTGCTCTGATCTTTGAGCATCCACAATGGTATTCTCAAGTTGTCGCTTCAATTTATCTTGTAAATCCTCAAGTTGATCTTGATGCTTTCTTGTGATGTCATCAAACATGTCTTTCTTGGCAGTTTGAGCAGCTTCTAGAAGCATATCGTGTTGTTCCTTTGCAGTCTCAGCATCCAATTTAACAAGATCGATCTCAGCTTGAAGTCTTGAGATTTGATTCTCAAGTTCTTCTCTGACAACATTGACCTCATTATTGGCAGTCTCAACCTCAACCTGCATGTATTTTCTCGTACGTGCAACTTCACCCAAGCCAGATTCGCGAGCCTCTTCAAACTCTCTCTTGTATCTCATGACATCTTTATGAGCAGCATGGTTTTCATTGCGGAGTTCAATCACGAGAGCTTCCAACCTCTTACACTCATTAACGGCTCTCATACCTTGTCTCTCGCCACTTTCCAATCGTTCAATTTCCAGTTCGAGTCGTTCCCTTGTCCTAGCTTCGGCATGGAGTTTAGCGTCAAGGACTTCCTGTCTGGCAAGTAATTCCTGTTCCTTCTTGGCACGATGAGAATTTTCCTGTGAAATATTTCGGGCGGCTGTGGCCATATCCTCCTGCAAATCCATTAATTTCGATCTCATGGATTCGCGGACTCGGATACTTTCCTCCATCTGGTTCTTCAAGGTCTCGATGGTCCTCCTGAGGTCTCTGTTGGTTTCATTGGCTTGTTCCGCATCCTCGCTGTGTCTCTTGGCGGCTTCCATGGCTCCTTCGGCTTCCAGTTGCCATCGATGTGCTAACGAACGCGATTCTCGTAATTCAGACTCGGCCATGTGGATCGTGGCAGTAAGATCTGCTTCCGTCTTGCGCGAGTTCTCCTGGGCAGCTTCAAGAAGGGCGATGCGCATGGTTGTCTTATTTCTTGACTCTTCAATGCTTCTTACCTTATGATCACGATCTTCCGCAATCTGTCGCATCTTCGCATCCTTTTCCAACATGGCGTCACGAAGTCGATCTTCCTCCTCGGATGAGACGCGAAGTAGACGTTGAGCTTCAGCCAGACGATCTTCAGCCTTTCGTCGATTGACAAATTCAATCTCGGCTTTTGAACTCTTCTCATCGACTATTTGTCTTAATCGAGTTTCTTCTTCCAAAGAACTTGCCAAAAATCTTTCCGTCATAGCCTTGGAATCTTCAGCAGCTCTACGCTTCTTGATTTCTTCCTCAACCCAATCATCAGCCCGATGAAGCTTTTCCTCCAGCTCGGAAATTCTAGCTCGAGTACTCTCTTCCATCTCAATGTACCTAGAGTGAGCTTGCTGCTCAAGAGCAGCGATTTTTGCTTCGGCTTCAGCTAGTTGAATAGCAGAAACATTATCAGTCTTGACTGATTCAGGCATTCTCCTTTCAACAACTTCTTCAACAGCCTTCTTGAGATCTTCCACATTGAAAGCCGATCGTGAGGATTGAGTAAAATGCTCCTTCATTTCATCCAGAGCTTGAAGGACATTACGCGAGTCGGGCAACATTGATGCAGTAGTTGGGGTCATGGCAGTTTGAGGTCTTGATGAATGAGTATTCAGAGCCTCCAA